AGTATAATAAAATGGATACACTTAGGATAAAAGAAACTCTTGTCCAGCTGCTTTTCATGAAGCTCAAACAATGAAGCAGCCTGGTGCCTTGAATCCGATTCAGAATTGGTGGGTGCATCTTGCTGTGCTGCTGCTAGAGCTAAATGTGACCATCTGATACAGGAGAAAGTGCCAAATAGTTCCGCTTTATTAAATAGTCTATAATGTAAATCCAGCCTGAGGCTTTTTTAAAATATGGTTCTCTACTGGGCTACCCCTGTAGGGCCAGGGGATTATCTAATATATTCTGTTACAACAAGTCTTAAATCTTTTGGTACCAGGGTCTCCCTTTTTGAAAGCTAGCTCAGTGTTAGGACGATCTATAGTGATATGCCCAAGAGAAATGATGCTCACACAAAAAACCTGTACATACATGTTCACGGCAGCATTGTTCATAATAGCCAAAAAGTAAAAACAAATACCCATCAACTTATGAATGGATAAAATGTGGTACATCAGCATAGTGTCAAATATTCAGCCATTAAAAAAAAATGAAGTACTGATACATGTTACAACATGAACCTTGAGAACATAAGTGAAAGTACCAAGATACAGAGGCCACTGTATCAGTCAGGGCGCTCCAGAGAAACAGAACCAATAGGATTTATTTTAGGAAATTGGTGCATGTAGTTGTGGGGGCTGGCAAGTCTGAAATTTGTAGAGCAAATACCTTCTCTGAGAGACATCAGTTTTTGCTCTTGAGGCCTTCAACTGATTAGATGAGTACCACCTACATTATGGAGGGTAAACTGCTTAACCTAAAGTTACCTGATTGTAGATGTTAACCATCCCTGCAAAATACCTTCATAGCAATACCTAGATTAGTGTTGGACTAAATAACGGGGCACTATAGCCTAGCCAAGTTGACACATAAAATTGACTATGAAAACCATATATTGTATGATTTCATTTTTTTCTTTCAGTTTTTATTTGAGAAAAAAATATTAGAGAACTCAACACTGACAGCAGAGTAAAATGAGTAAAATTACATTATCACCATTTAAATTTACTTAGGTATTACATGATTGTCATTTTTAAGTTCTAGGTATAAAATAAAATAAAAATAAAAGTTCCAGATATATTCTGTTTTTACTTCAAAAGAATTAAAATGATACCCTTGCTGAAACATTTAATGGTCATAGAAACTAATCATTTCTTAATTTTAGTTAAGCCAGAGAAATAATTATAATTACTCAGTTCAAGGATGTTAGGAACCAACTTACAGAGCATTCTCCCGAAGATATTTTCTTGGCCTTGGAAGACATCTATTTTCAAACTTAATAGTAGAGTCAAGTGAAACTTAACAATAAGGGTTTTCCAAATTGAAAATTCTTACATATGTTGTATAAGCACTCATATATAACCATTTGTCTGTGGTCTGTAAATTTTACCTTATATTGTGATACATATCACTATATAATGGTGCACTGGGTACGTGATTTCATTTATATGAAATGTCCAGAATTGGCAAATCTGCAGAAACAGAAAGTAGGTTAATGGTTGCGAGGGGCAGAGGGGCAAGAGGAAGTGGGGAATGACTGCTAAAAGTAAGAGATTTCTCTTTTGGGATAATGTAAATGTTCTGGAATCCAATAGTGGTGATGGTTGTACAACTCTCTGAACATACTAAAAACCAATGAATTGTACACATTAAGTGGGTAGATTTTATGGTATGTGAATTATATCTCAATACAACTATTAAGAAAATCATCTGTCAAGACCCAGGCCCCCTTTTTTTAACCCCAGATTTCTAGGTTTTGACCTAAACTTTGCCTAAGAGAATATTTTAAAGAGAATATTTCAATATTTTCCTGGTATCTGCTTTTGAGTGCATCAAGCTACAAAGGACATAAGAAACTATTAATTATGACTCAGCTCATGTCACTGAATAAGATTAAACCTCATCAAGTTAGGACCTTGCCCTTCTTGTTTCCTAGCAGACCCATGAAATAAGACTTTTTATAGATTTATTGAATCCCTTCTACATCATAGGACAGGACAAAAAGTACTGCAATGTTACTGGGTTAAATGTAAAGTCAGCTTAATAAGTACCCTTGAGGATTAGGGGTATTAGAACAAAAAAGCTGATTTTAAAATTGGCAGTGTGAATGGATGGAAATAGGTGGATACTTTGAAAAAAGCTAAAGATAATCTTTGGAATTCTTTGATGAGTGAATCTGAGATCCTGAACACCCTCCTCCTTTGCTGCTGCTTTGTGTTCTGCCTTTCCTGTATTTTTATGTTTCTTTTTGGTGTTTCCCAAAGTGCAGTGCATATAGCTCTGGCTGTACTGTGATTTTAGGTGATACATAAATACTTCTGGTTCTCACAGGTATATGTGTGTGTGTGTTTGTGTGTGTATTATTTTTAAATGGTTATATTTTAATATGATTTGGAAAAATGTAGCCTTTCAAACCAGTCATTTCATGGATCTTATTGTTTGAAGTAAAACTATAATAATAAGTCATGGTGTTAGGTCTGTTTTCTTAAAATCAGTAAATAATAATACAGGTGGCATACTAAAAGGGCAAAAATTATGAAGATGTTATGCAAATGACTGAAGCTTAGTCAACTGTGCCCCATTGACACTGTTGTTTTCCCTCTGGGTGCCTGTATTTAGTCGTGAGTAGCTTTTCAGCTAGTCCTATCCCATTACCTATCTCTTGGAAGTCCCAGATTAGGAAGAAAGATACCTATCCTGAAATCAACTTAGGAAGTGCTCATTGTTGTAATATCAAGATAATGAACCAGTGCTGTTTAAGGTAATACCAACATGTATATTGGTATTTTGTGGGGGGAAACCTTGTATAAGCTTTGATTTGGCAGGTGAATCTAGGGACTAGATAGTTGCAGACACAGGAAAATCTTAAGTCTTGGCCATAAAAATCCATCTTTCCTCTTACAAATCTACCTAATGGGATAGGGTAAAACGAGTGTATGTGTTTCCTTATGAGTCTATATATGTCTTACGTAAACTTGAATCATATTCTTGGTGGCTCTTCCATTAAGAAAAGGTGAACTTCTTGTAGATAAGGCCTATGTTTGAGGTTCTTGTACACCAGGACAATTTTATGTAGCTAGTTAGGTAAAGCAGTATTCTCTTTCTCTAAGTGTTCCTTTCCCTCTCCGTTTCTTCTTTAAATATGGGGCCCCAATCCACAATGGAAAAGGCACAAAGATAGGGACTTATTACTGGATTTTTTGTGACTCAACCAAAGTGACTGAGAAAGGAATCTGGATGCTCTCTTGGGATTTTGGTCAGGGGTGTGTCAGGTCGCCCCATCGCTATCATGCAGGATTTTCAGGTTGGATTAGGGCCTGCTTCCATGGCCAGCTACTTTGCTGGTGAATAACGTAGCTGGAACTTCCAGCCTGTTTCAGGATGCCTTGTATTTGCCAGCCACATAGTAAGCATGGATCCTTTGGCTTTCCTCTAGGAATTTCATGCACATTCTGGGAATCAGTTTTTTGGTTCTTACGTAGCTCAATTTGTGTTCAGAGATTAGAGTTTCCTTTTTAACTAGCACAACAACAGGTTCAGTAGATAAGAATGTCATCTAACTAATAAGGGAGGGCATTTAAAAACTTATTTCCTACCCATATATTTAATGTGCAATGGTCCTAGAGCTGAATCATCCTGATCTGAGTTATTCTGTTTATCATACTTCTCTAATGATAGATACTTACAAAATGGAAATATTTTTCCTATCATAATTCACATTAACATTCCTAAAGTTGTAGTCATTTCCCATTGTCGTTACATAAAAATCAAAGCCCAGAAAAATACCATTTGTGCCAGGAAAATGTTAGTACTTTTTGGGTGATATGGAAACCTGTCTGAATGGTTTGTGTGGCAAATTAATATTTAATGAACATAAGAGCTACAGTTAAATGTTATAGAGATTTGGGCACTTCTTGCTGCTTAGATTTCTTTGAAATGCTTTTTAGCTGTGGTTTGCCACCAGTTTTGCCTAGGGTCAAAGTAAAATCTCAGTGTTTGATGTTGTAAGCAAAATAACCTATGTAGCTATGAGTCTCTACTAGAAAATAATCTGGAATAAGATACTCAGGAGAGAAAATATTTATGAGTAGTTTTTCCGTTTGAAAAGTTAGACTTTGGAAATAGTTCTAAAGAGGGTTGATTTTTTTTTTTTTTTTAAATCAGAATTTTAAAACAATCCAGGGGTGCCTGGGTGGCTCAGTCAGATCCTGGGATCGAGCCCCCACCGCCCCCCAGCCAGGAGTCCACTGCTTCTTGCTTTTCTCTCTCCCTCTGCCCCTCCCCCACTTGTGCTTGCTCTCACTCTCTCTCAAAAAAAAAAAAGAATTTTAAAACAATCTGTTCTAAGTGGTGATTTCTTTTTAAAAGTTCCCCAGTCCAAGTACCTTTTTGGGAAAATAACCCGAAAATAGTACTTCTCTGAATTGTTCACTTATGCATTATTTAGGATGTTACAAAGAAATTCTGTACCTAAAAACAGTCATGCATAATCCTACTTAGACCAGAATTTTATAGCTAAGCTTTCATGTGGGTTATATGATCTCTTAATTATTCAGGATCAGTTTTTTAGTCAATATTTAAACCTCTCTGGGGCACTTGGGTGGCTCAGTCATTAAGCATCTGCCTTCGGCTCAGGTCATGATCCCAGGGTCCTGGGATCGAGCCCGCGTTGGGCTCTCTGCTCTGCGGGGAGCCTGCCTCTCCCTCGGCCTGCTGCTCTGTCTGCTTGTGCTCTCTCTCTCTCTGTCAAATAAATAAATAAAATCTTAAAGAAAAAAAAAAAAGATTCTTCCTCTGTCCCTCCCCCCAGCGCGTGCTCTCTCTCTCTCAAATGAATAAATAAATAAATCTTAAAAAAATAAAATAAACCTCTTGATTGCTTGGCACGGTGCCTTACATCTAGTAGCAAATACATTTTTAAAGTTGAATTGATTGTAACTTTACTCCTTTTTCTTTTTAGAAAAGGTATAGTTTGGCAGTGGGGCCTCCCAAAAAAGACCCGAAAGTTAAGGGTGTCCAATCTGCAGCCGTTCAGGCTTTTCTCAGAAGAAAAGAAGAGGAGCTCAGGCAAAAAGGTATGTATCTACAGCCTTATTCTCGATTTTAAAGTCTTCCACCTTCACAACTAGCTTGTACTTAACTAGTGGATGCTTGTAATAACATAAGAGGCTGATGGATTTGTGTATGTGTCTGAATCAACTGTGTTTAGAGGATTATATATGTTCTTATGCTGGTCATTTGAATGGACATTATCTTTTATTTCCTTTTAAGAGCTTTTGGGGATAGTGACCATATTTTCCACTTGGCCTCACTAGGTCCCAATAGGAACTCCATTATTTGACCTTCATTCTGAATCTCCTTCTACATACTTTGTTTTTTAATTTTTTTTTTATTATTATCAAGAATGCTATCTTAGGGCACCTGGGTGGCTCAGATGGTTAAGCGTCTGCCTTCGGCTCAGGTCATGATCCCAGGGTCCTGGGATCGAGTCCCGCATCGGGGTCCCTGCTCCTTGGGAGCCTGCTTCTCCCTCTGCTTCTCTCTCTCTCTCTCCCTCTGTCTCTCATGAATAAATAAATAAAATCTTTAAAAAAAAAAAAAAGAATGCTATCTTAAAGGTTAAAATAGGGACAGTTTTTGAAGACCAGTAAACTCAAGCAGTAGTTTTACCTCAGGGAAATGACAAGGAAACTGATTTAATACATGTAAGTATTCATTTATTCATAATTGATAATGATTGTGAAGTGGGTCCTACTGTTCCTTAACCTGGTATATTTATTTGGTATGAATTTTCTATATTTAAAGCTAAAAGCCTAGTCTCTCACCTGCTTTGTCATATTGAAAGACCCATATGTGACCCACTCATTATGTAAAGATGACTCAACAGATACTTGTTCAAAGGACTTCCTCATTTCATTCCTAGATGTCTTCAAACTGTAACTTGAATGTTGCTTGTGTTTTGGCCACCTATTGATTTCAGATGAAATACCTGAGACCTCCATACCTTGAAATACTTTGTTCTTGTTTTGTCCCTTTTAGCTTTAGAGGAGAAAAGGAGAAAAGAGGAACTAGTGAAAAAGCGAATTGAGCTAAAACATGACAAGAAAGCAAGAGCTATGGCCAAAAGGACAAAGGATAATTTCCATGGTTACAATGGGATTCCCGTTGAGGAAAAGTCAAAGAAGAGGCAGGCAGTGGAAAGCCACACTAGCCAGGGAACAGAACAAGAGTATGAGATGGAAGAAGAAGATGAATTCTTAGAATACAATCAAGCAGAGTCAGAGCAGGAGTATGAGGAAGAGCAAGAACCTCCCAAAGTTGAAAGCAAACCAAAGGTCCCCCTTAGAAGTGCCCCACCACTCATGAACTTCACTGATCTACTCAGGCTGGCTGAGAAAAAGCAGTACGAACCAGTGGAGATCAAGGTAGTGAAGAAAACAGAAGAGCGGCCCATGACTGCAGAAGAACTTAGGGAGCGAGAATTCCTTGAACGAAAGCAGAGGAAAAAGAGACCTGAGACAGATGCAAGACTACCTCCAACCAAAAAGGCACCCTCTCAGAAAGAAAGTGTGGGCACAAAACTTAGCAAACATCCTTCCAGGGGTATTCCCCTTCCTCATGCTGAGAAGAAATCCAGACCCAGCACAGCCAATGAGAAACATTTAGGTGTGTCTTCATCCAAATCCATGCCAGGAGAGAGGACCAAAGCAGGATCTGTCAGTTGCTCTCAACCCTTACTTCGTGAGGGCCATGACAGACCTGTCTTCAATGGGGCTGGAAAGCCCCACTCCAGCACCTATTCACCAAGTGTCCCAAAGACTTCTGCTAAGGGGACTCAGAAATCTGCTACTGAGCACAAAGCCAAAAAATCTCCTCCCCATCCTAGCCATTCCAGGCCTGGGTCCATGGTTACCCCACACAATAAAGCTAAGAATCCAGGTGTCAGGCAGCTGGGCAACAGCAACAGCTCCAGCTTAGCTCCTGGACGGCCTGGCACAGGGACTGCTCGGCCTACAGTTAGTTCTGGCCCCGTGCCCAGGCGCCAGAACGGCAGCTCCAGCTTAGGACCTGAGCGATCGGTCAGTGGGACCAAGAAGCCAGCCAGTGACTTCAGTCTCTCCGGACGGACACTCAGTGGTACAGGTGGCCCTGGGCACCCTGCAAGCAGCTCAAGTGGCCCTGGGCGACCCACCAGTGGCTCAGGTGGTTCTGCGAGAGCTCTGGGCGGCTCTGGTGGCCCTGGGCGGCCTGTGAGCAGTCCACATGACCTTCGACGACAAGTGAGTGGCTCTGGCCCCTCTGGGCGGCCAGTCAATGGCCCTGGGCGGCCAGTCAGTGGCCCTGGGCGACCAGTCAGTGGTCCTGGGCGGCCAGCCAGTGGCCCTGGGCAATCAGTAAGTGGCTCAGTTCCAGCTGGACGGACTGTCAGTAGTTCAGGGCCCGGAAGACCAGTGAGCAGCTTGGGACCCGGGCGACCAGTTAGTAGCTCCAGTCTCCCCCTAAAGCCCAAGTGTACTGTTGTCTCAGAAACAATTTCTTCCAAGAATATAATTAGCCGATCCAGCAATGGACAGATGAATGGAATGAAGCCTTCCTTATCTGGCTACAGATCTGCCCAAGGTAAAATTGTCCCTTACCCTAAGAATATTTATTTGTTACTAGGAAATTGGAAAGAATACTTTGTTTTTTATAACCAGAAGCCCTGTGAACCCTTCCCGTGTACTCTTATGTTGATAACATTCTGATGCTTTCTCATTGTGTCTGAGAGTCGCTTGAGTGATCATAATTTGGAAAAGGCTTTAGTAAGAGAGTTATCTAGGACCTTCTGTGTTCACCCCTGTAACATCTCCAAGTGCAATAAACTTGGCTCTGTGATTCATAAGACAGGGTGAATGTATATGCCTTATATGGTTCAATGAGTTAATTCGTCTTTACCTTTTCATGAGAACTAGAGAGACCCGTCTTCAAAAGTTGGGAGTATATTTATACAGTTGAAGCCTTCTGATGCATTATTTTGTCATCAGATACTTGTTAAGTGCCCACAATCTACCAGGAACTGTTTTTGATTGCCCTTGTATTTCTGCTTTTCTTCATGGTAATAAGCATTTGTTAAAGTCCTTGTTGGGTGCCATGGAGAATATAAAAAGAAACAAAACATGAGATTCCATGCTTTAAACTTCCTAAATCACCTAGAACATTGGTTCTCAACCAAGGATGATTCTGATGCCTAGTGAACATCTGGCAGTGTCTGGAGACATTTTTGACTGACACAACTGGGGGTAGGGATGCTACTGGCATCTATTAGATAGAGGCCAGAGATGCTGCTGTTACCCTACAATGCACAGGACAGTCTGCTCACAACAAAAAACTATCTGGCCCAAAATGTCAACAGTGCAGAAGTTGAGAAAGAAACCCCGCGCTAAGGAGACAAGCCATGCATATTAACAATAACTCGAGAACAACAAAAGGAGGATCTCTAATCAAGGACTAGAAAGCAGTTGTTCCCAGATCTGGTCTATTGATCAGTGTCTGTCTTTTGCAAAGCTTTAATCAGTCTTTTAGCAAAATGACAAAATAAGGATAATGTAATGAGTTTTTTTAAAGTTAGCCTTATTCATTTTGAACAATCTATCCATAATTCTGGGAATCTTTCATACTATGTTGGACTCCTAAAAAATGTACCTAAATTATGGTGATAATAGATGGTAGGTTGTTACCTTCGAGGTCTTTTCTTGGCAAAACTAAAAGTTAGTGATCCTGTAAGCCATTTGTAATTTTTTTTTTTTTTTTAATTTTACCAGTCTTTTAAATCCAGAAGGAAGGGAACCACTAGGCTAGAAAATGTAACAGATGCTTCTAGTAAACCACTTATAAACAACATGAAGCAGCAGGGTTGATGTAATAATGACTACATACTATGGGCCAGCATACTGGCTCTGGTGTTTGAGGATACGGTCTTAATGAGTTCTCAAAATCTCAGTTTATGTAGAACTTTGTTGGGACTATTTTCAGTTTTAATGCTTGGCGTAAATAATGGCTTTTCTATTCTTAGTTCCTCAAAGGCCTCCCTTCCCTAGTGGTTACAAAAGGAAGCGAGAATATGAAGAGGAGGAAGATGATGATGAATATGACTCTGAAATGGAAGATTTTATTGAAGATGAAGGAGAACCTCAGGAAGAAATATCCAAGCACATTCGAGAAATCTTTGGCTATGACCGAAAAAAGTAAGACTAAAGAAGATTTAGATAAATGATACACTTATTTTGAATGACTCATGCTATGGGGGAAAAATAAACATTAATAGTAGAGGCATTGAATACAGTTCTTTATTAGGAACCACTGGATGATTGTTTATTCTTTTGGCACTTAAAATTTAAGAATTAAGTCAAGAGTTTTTTGTGTAGTTGCATGCCAAAAAATAACCTTTTTATGCTGTTTTTATAAGATGTATATTTAATGAGAGTGAAGCAGTTTAGTGTTGGAGAACTAGATAGGCTTTGAACTCAGCCATCCACAGAGCTATATTGAAAGCTGGTCTGGTCTGACATCTGCTTTTCATTGATGTAAAAAAGCTTTGCTGCTCAAAAGTGTGGTCCCTGGACAGTGGTCAGTATGGGACCAACAGTGTTGACATCACCTGACAACAGCATTAGAAAAGTAGGCTCTCAGGCCCCACTTCAGAGCTACAAATCTATATCACCTTTATAAGGCTCCCAGGTGATTCATAAGCACATTAAAGTTTGAGAAGCCCTGGTATAGAGAGGAAAGATCAGGGTCTGAATGAAAGTTCTACCACTTACTAGCTGGGTAAACTTGAGTAAATTATTTTTAGAATGTCATCTGGAAGGGGGCACCTGCGTGGCAAAATCTGTTGAGCATCCAACTCTTGGTTTCGGCTAAGGTCATGATCCCAAGGTCATGAGATCAAGCCCCACGTCAAGCTCTGTGCTCCACGTGGAGTCTGCTTGAGATGCTCTCTCTGCCCCTCCCTCTGCTCACTCTGTCTCTCTCTCTCTCTCAAATAAATAAATCTTTAGGGAAAAAATGACATCTAGAAGGATTAAATGAGGTAGTATGTGTGTGAAACAGAAGGGACTTATCTCAGTGCCTATCAATCGACGTTTGCCATCTCCTTTAAAGCTACCAGTATGAGAAATTAGAAGGCAATCCTAAGAAAAGATGTTTTTTATTGTTATGTTAATCACCATACATTACATCATTAGTTTTTGATGTAGTGTTCCATGATTCATTGTTTGTGCATAACACCCAGTGCTCCACGCAGAATGTGCCCTCTTTAATACCCATCACCAGGCTAACCCATCCCCCCACCCCCCTCCCCTCTAGAACCCTCAGTTTGTTTTTCAGAGTCCATCGTCTCTAATGGTTCATCTGAAAAGATGTTTTTTAAAAAAAGATATTTAGTAGTAAAAACTGGAATAAAAATCAGATTTAAATATCTAATATTCATAATGTCATTAGCTAGTTAACATGTTCTTGGTCAAGCCATTAATCTGCCTGCTTCAGTCTCTGTTTTTTGTTTTTTTTTTTAAATTTTTATTTATTTGACAGCACAAGCAGGGGGAGCGGCAGGCAGAGGGAGAAGCAGGCTCCGCGCTGAGCAGGGAGCCCAATGTGGGGCTGGATCCCAGGACGCTGGGATCATGACCTGAGCCAAAGGCCGACGCTTAACCGATAGAGCCACCCAGGCGCCCCTTCAGTCTCTGTTCTAAAGTCCTTCCCTTTCTCAAGAGGCTCAAATGAGATTAATATGTACAAAATGATTTTCATATATATTGTACTTTCAGGATTTTAATATAAACTATCTTGTAACTAGAGGCGAAAGAGGTAAACGTTGGATCGGAATCTTCATCGACATTAAATTCAGGAATAGTTGCCTTCAGGGAGTAGTAAGGACTCATTTAATTTTTTTATTTCAGAAACTCACCTCTACCCATCCTCTGCCTCCCTCACTCCTTGCGAAGCCAGAAAGAGTAATTCTAAGTGTGTTTTTGTTTTTGTTATAAAGATACTAATTTTTAAAACAGGAGAATGCAGTTCCTTTAAAAAACTGGGAATTTGGGCTTTTTTAACAACATTGATTTTCTCTTATCAGATACAAAGATGAAAGCGATTATGCCTTACGTTACATGGAGAGTAGTTGGAAAGAGCAGCAGAAGGAAGAAGCAAAGAGGTAAGCACAAAACGTAACACATTTGTGCAGAAATGTCCTGAACATTCCTTTCTGTTTCCTGCTTCAGTTGCATGCACCATTGGGAGCAGGGGCTTTGGGCCACACAGTTCTGAGTTCCAATCCTGCTTACTTACCATGGGGCTTTAGACAAATTCTTTAGCCTTTCTAAATCTGCCTTCTTGTTTGTAAAATGAGAATTTACTGTTTTTACTTATTACGGTACTGTATTAAAATAATGTGTACAAGCTGCCTAGTGCAGTGCCTCACCCTTCTGGGCGCACAGTAAGTGCTAGAAGCTGCCTCTGACCCAACTGCAATGTGTTCTTGTTTGTTTTTGTTTTTTTTTAAGATTTTTTTATTTGAGAGAGCAAGAGAGAGCAGGAGCAGAGGCAGAGGGGGAAACAGACTCCCCACTGAGCAGGAGCCTGATGCCAGGCTCAATCCCAGGACCCCAGGATCATGACCTGAGCTGAAGGCAGACGCTTAACGACTGAGCCACCCAGGCGCCCCTCTTTCCCCATCTTTAATTCCCTTTCTATTGGACACATCTCAGTCTTGCTAACCTATACCACTACCGGCCTTAGGGACCTGAGGAGGGATGGGAATTCTGTCTTATTCCTCTTTGAATACCTAATAACAAACTAATGATAATTTCTTGGAGTAACAAGTGATTACTTTGTTTATAGTGTTAACTCTGTAAAATAATACAATTCAGTCTCGACCCAGAATATTAAGCCTGTCTCCCTCTTACCTTCCCCTCTTGTAACTACATAAAATATCAAAGTGGTGGGAAGGGATAAAAATAGAATGTTATTTTATTTATTGAATAAACTTTATGATTTTTAAAAGCTGTTAGGATAAGCAGTTTGTATTTTACTACTTTACTGGGAACATTAAGGTATTTGGTGTTGAGGTTTTATGTGAGGTCTTTTTTCTACTGTAAGTGGAGTCAGTAGCAGAGGCTCCTAGTAAAAAGTATACTTGCTAGTTCTCAGTGGTAAAGCCTTGAGGCATTTTTAATGCATCAGCACATTCATATGAGCTCCCAGTTTAAATTTCACTTTTAATTTTTAAAGAGAGTGGTAATTTCATGTATGTTGATAAATGCTTTTTTTGTTGTTGTTGTTGTTGACAGTTTGAGACTAGGTATGCAGGAGGACTTAGAGGAAATGAGACGTGAAGAAGAAGAAATGAAGCGTCGAAAGGCCAAGAAGCTGAAGAAGCGTTAGCTGCTGCTTTTATTTATTTTTGTGAAATTCTGGAGACACTCTGCTGCAAGGAGGTCCTGCCTTCAGAATGAAGAAGCCCCTTTATGATTTTAGATTTATACTTGGGTACTCAAGGAGAGGGAATGCATACTATCATTTGCAGGCTGTCATTGGAGCATAAAGCGTTTTCAGATACTTTCCAGGGTTAAATCTGTAATGCAGGTGATAGAATGCCCAGTTGAGTGCTCTTAGGAAGTTAACTGTCACAGGTGCCAGCCTTGATCCTGATGAGCTATGCACTCTGATGTGGGGCCGCTCGCCAGTCAGCCAATCTTACGTTGTTCCTTTGCTACTTTGAAAAGGAAAAAAAAGGATTGCCTCGTGACTTCATAATTCTGCTGTTGTGTGAGTAGGGCACTGCCCGGCTCCCAATCAAATTTATTTTGTCTTTTAATGAGGAACCTGGCCCTTCCATGAATGTTGCCAGCAATAAAGTGACCTGTCCTAATCTATATGTTTGGATTGAGAACTTGAAAATGTAGAGTAGGCTTTATAATTATCGTATGGATGTCATCTCTGTGACTTTGAAGTAAAAGTAGAATAAATTATATTGTATTCTGCATTATTCGTGGATTGGATGCTGAGCATTCTTATTCACTAATTTAGGTGATAAGGCAATTAACAAAAAATTTTTTTCAAGTTAAAATACAAGTTATGCCATTTAGTTTAAAAATATTTGTTTCCAAGTTTTCCTTTCAGATTTCCTGTTAGGTTGGCTTTAGTATAAAATAGACAAGGTCACTGTGCTAATTGATTTTTATCTAAAAAATTCATTTTTATATTGAAGAAAAATGCTTATTTTATTCAAACATTAGATTTGGAAGAGTAATAGTTTAAAAACTGAGGAAGTGACATGTGAGGCTCCCCTCTTCCCTCATTATAAAAATATTTTGGAAAAAGGTGCCCCTGTACCTCTTGATATTAATGACTATGTTTTATCTTAAGTTCTTTAGCAATTAATGGCAAAAACCAAAAACTAAATTCATGTGTATCAAGAGCACCACCTTCTCTTTTTGCCCATATTGCACTTTTATTTCAAACTATGCACTGTGAAGAGATTTTTTTCCCCAGGTAGAAAAGGATGTTCCCTGTTACTAGTGTTTTACTGGGCTGTGGAACTTTCTTCATTCTCACTTGTTTTCAGGTCATATTTGTAGACTTGATATCTCTTAAGCCTCAAATCCAGGCAATTCCAATCAGGCTGACATAGATTCTGGCTGGAGAGAAGCCAAGTCTCAAGGAAAGTCAGCAATAGAAAATGAGATATGATGATGCTAGAGAACATTTGTCCTTCTTGATTCTAAATGTGGAGGGTTGGGGGCAGCGGGACATAAGCTTGTAAAACAGTTCCAAACATTGCTTTCATGTATTCCTTTTTATCCATAAAGCTTTCTTTATTCAAATTTGGTAGTATAGATTACTATTGTTAGCCTCCTTTAATGGGACAACCATGTGACCCAGGCCCTTAAGACTCTGACTCATTTTGAATTGAGTTTCACATTTCAGAAGTGCAAGGATTTAACTGTGAAGCTGAATCCTATGAAAGAGGTCTTCATCACTAGGAATAACACCTTTTCTAATGATCCACATAGAACCGTTACACTGGCAGAAAATCCTGTCAACTGCCTCTCACCCATCTCAAATACCTTCAGTGAAATTGGTTTAAGGGTAGTGTGATGTTCATGTAATGAAACAGGTTTGGAACATTATTTATTCTTTGCTGTCACTTTTGTGCCCCCCCCGCCGCCAAAAAGGTTTTTTTCTTGGATATATTTTTTCAATATTCAGACTCTTTGAAAATCTATTACAATCAAGTGCTTATCATAGCCGAAAGATTTCTCGTGGCTTAAAAGTTTACTAGCACTTTACTCAATGTGCAGTTATTTGTACATAAAGGCACCACTGTGCTAGGTAAAAGTTCCAGAACTTGGAAGAGTCAGGTTTTGTCCTTAGGCGTTATCACTTTTGAGTGCATTTCTTCTACAGATGTTATTATTCTTCAGCATCAGCATTATAAAAGGGCACTTCTGTAGCTCAATTAAAAAGGAAGTCCTGAGAAAGTCTTTTAAATTAGTCTTGGCCTTTTTTCCAAATCCTGTCTTCCATTTTGTTCTGCAGTTCCTAACCACTCTTACAAAAAGCCCACAAATCTTTGAAGAAACTGGAATAAGCTATTATTTTATTAAGGTTTACAAATTAAGTGCTTGGTTTTTAATGTATCCTCTACCACTTTGGTTTTCAGATTTTATTAATTCAATATCTGAAGATGTGCCTTTTATTGGGTAATGTTAATTCACGAATGTAGTAATGTTATTTCACGACTGTAATGTTACATGATCATGGGTGTGGCATTCTCTAACAGATGATGTGAAAGGAAAGTAGTTTTCATAAAACTCATATGGCTCTGATTGCACAGTCCCACTTGCTTTTGATATTGCTATGTCAAAGCAAGGGGCACTTTCTTTTAAGGCTACTTTCAGAACTTGTCTTTGTATTTTCTCTAAACTATAAATGCAGTTATGTCCATTTGGAGGCCAGGGTACCACATGTCACAGACAGCCTTACATGTGTGCCATGAGAGGCTTCAAAGACTGTTAACAAAAAAGAAAGTCTATGGGAACTCGAAATTTCATTTTTTAAATGTTACCCCAAGATTTTCTCCAAGAAATTACTGTTTTGTATTTTGTAACTTAAAAGCAGCTATTAGTACATTTCTGAGATATAGCAGGAGACCAAAACATGTTTGGAAAGAGAATAAATATATGAAGAGAGACTGGTTGGTTTATTTTCAATGTGCTGAATATATTAGACTACTATTTATTTTGTGAGTGGATGTGATAAAATAAATATTCAGGTGTTTAGTGTATGATTAAGAGTGATATATAGATTTCTTTGGAGTTATTAAATCCATCATGTCTTTTACATAATGGACAAATCAAGTTTTAAAAAAGAAAACATTTACATAGTTTAGCTTGTTTTCTGGTGCTGTTGACCTGCAAGAGAATCTACTTTTGCATATACAGGTAAAAGTTTTGCAATTTATGTATAAAAGAAATTGTAGGCATTAAAAATATTTTATTGATATTTTCACTGGTTTGCCTTTATTTACCAAAACTCAGATATTCCTTCTTTCATTGCCCTGAACATTTTCCCAGCTAGAACCTCCGGTAGACTCATCAGACTTGAGATGGGGTTTGCCTCCTTACACACACACACACACCTCTGTTCATTCTCCCTGACACATTCATGTCTGCTCAGTCCCCACAACTGACACCTCTCCCCGCCCCCCCACCAGCTTAAGAGAGCTGGTCTGCTACCAGACACCCAAGTTAGGAGAATTGTTTGGAGGTATATTCAGGAAACTGGAGGGAAGAACTGGGTATAGTTCTTGTCAAGAAAATGAGCAGGTTCTGATCCCCTGTCATAAAAAAAGCCTGAAATAGTTAACTGAGAAGATGAGTCCTTTGGAATATATGAGGCAAGTGGGCACAGCCATGCAGCCAGAGAATGTAGGCACTTAACTCGATGGGATATGTTGGGTCGCCGTCACGTAAGTATTATGAGAGACGCTACTATCCTAGGGTCAGGATTACATAGTGTTGCTTATGGATTTTGAGTTCACGTTTCTTTCCATAAAAAATAAAGGGCAATCCATTCAGTGCACAGGGCCACTTAAAAATAGTTCAGCAAACATGTACCAAATAGTCATCAACAAAATGTTACCTGCATAACCAAAAGATCTACTTTGGTGGTAAGGATGCCCTTCTGAACAATGGAACTATCAGTTGTCCCCAGGCAGCCACAGAATGGGAAAAGTTCCATACAGTTTGTTTCAAAAGTACTTGCTCTTATTAGGTTCACCCCCCTCCCCCCCGACTCCCCTCTCAGGGTCAGAAAATTCCAAACCACCTCTAGAGGGCTTATGAGGAATATCCTAGGGCTCAAACACTCAGAATAATTGCATGGGTCTTATACTTAGGTTTCCATCCTTGGTCTCAAACTCAAACGGAATCATATTAAGGACTGAGCAGTTGGCTTTTGTTTCTATGCGTGCTGCCCTGTATTAGCAGCAGTCACTGCTAAAAGAATCATCAGGCACCTTCTTGGCTATTCAGGTGAGGGAGGCATTTGAGCCAAGAGAGCCAAGGTCTTGGATATTCCAGGCTCTTGTTTGGCTCTTTTCCTTGGCACGCAGAAACATGCCAAGGAGAAGGTCTGGATCTTAATCTTGACTCTGCAACCCAGAGCTGTGGGGCTGGTAAGATTCCTGAACCTCTCAACTTCATTTTTTGCCATTTTGTTAAATGAGGCCAGTGGCCAAGCCAGAAGGTTATTATAAGGATTAAAATAATGTATAATTTAGCACCCAATATTAAAATGCAGCCCTTTCCTCACACAGTGTAAGCCTTAGGTTCTTGATAATAGCTGTGAAAAGGCCACAGAGAAGTATCCCCAAAGGATAGGCTTAAAGTTGCTGTAATAGCCTTTTCTGTAACATTTTTTCAACGCTGGATGCAGGAGAAAGCCTATACTTGAGAACTAGGTCTAAGGAACTTTAGAAAATTTCTATCCTTAAGGATGCAAAATAGGGGGCAAATTGAACGAGGTATCTTAGTCTTAATGCCAGTCTTAGGGACTGAAACGTAGGGGACCCAATCACATTCATCCACCCCAACTACCTCCCCACCCTCCATCTCCCTGTTTCGAGCTAACAGAATACCAAGTCTTCATCTTAAAAAGTACGGTAACCTTTTACATAAAATGTGACAAAATAATGTGCAATTACTTTATGCGAAACCAACAACAGAAACTGTACAGCTGGTCAGGTGAGCTTCAGAGCTGCATTACTTCACCAGGATCATCTTTGCTTATTTCCACCGGGGTCTGGGGGGGAGAAAAGTATGTCAGGTGGGCCTTACCTAGTGTTTGCTGGGGTGTGGGGATGAGGCAATTGCCCTCCTTGCTGTCCAATTCTGCCTCTTAATGCCTCTGATCCCAGTTGCCAGAGGGGTGTAGCCATGGGGGAGGTGACAAGAGGCCA